CCCCAAAACCCCAAAACCCCAAAACCCCACTAGGAAAAAGTAAAAATATGAGGTTAAGAATTATTTGAAATTAAAATATGTGGCTAATTTATTATTTGAGCCTAGTATAGTGATATGATAAAATTATATACTCGTGATAATTGGTAAAGTTTATATTTCACTCAAAGAGGGGAGGCTCATAATAGCATTCATTTTATAAATTTTCTAGTTTATTTTGTGTATACAGACCCAAATTTCGCTAATTAAGGTTATTTACTGCCACATTTTAGAATTAATTATTTACACAGATCCCTCCAGAAACATTTTTGAAGAAATCTTAGCCTCTTTGATTATGACCTCCGGGTAAGTATTTATTTTCTGGAGGCACAAAACCAGGGATCCCGAAGGCGGTATCATGAACTTTTTATCTTTACTGTTCTGCTGGATTGATAATACTAGGTATTATCATATTGAAATCAGTAGGAGTGAACAAATTCATCATATCAGCTTGCCTCTCGATATCTTGCAGATATTTCTATTCACCAAGGGTACTTCCGCCACTACCTCCTGAAAATGAACTTTTTCGGCTCTGAGATTTTGTCACTTTGAAAATAGGCTTTGTCTTTGGCTCTATTTTCACGTTTGGGTTGTAAACTTGTTCAGGATCTAATTTTTCTAACTAATCAGCCTTTACAAATCTTCCCTGAAATCTGAATCTTTTTTCAGCTAAGTTCTTCCTGCATTCATATCTCACAAATCGTTAACTTTTTCTTCTCTTTTTTTTCTCCCAATACTTGAGCACTCTTTCATTTTTAGAATCTCTCGAGAGAGGTCCCATCATGCCTTCACAAGAACTACCATTTGAGCTTGAGCAACTCTGATCCCTTCTCCCGTCATCAGAACCACCTCCATAATATCCATATAATTCGTCAGGAGATGATTGGGTTAAACCCTAACCATGCTGATATTTTCCTAAGGCAGAAAATTTATTATAATTTACATCTTGGCCAATAAGCTGTGGAGATTTTATAAATTTATTGGCACTACTTGTATTAGTTGTTGATGCATTTAGATCATCAAATGAACGTCCTCTATCTCTTTGGCTTGCACTTTGCTAGCTTTGTTGCATAAATTTCTGTTATTAGGATTTTAAGATCATTAACTAAATAAGATTCGTCGTGCTAGTCCCCATTAAAGACAGAGGCGGGAACATTTAAATTGGCTTTGGCTTGGCTATCTTATTCTCTAAGAAAGTATTTTTATCTTATTCTGACCTGTCATTAGAGCTATGATTTAAGGATTTATTTTGGAAACTTTCAACCTTCACTTTATTCAAATTGGATATCCCGTCTGTCCCAATTATATTCGTAAGGTCATTATGCTTATCGTTGAAATCTGCTTCATTATTTGTATGATTACTATGAAACCGTGATCTTTGAGTGCCGTACTCAGCTGATCCAAGGTCTGCTCCCATCAACTTTAAAGATTTGAGTTATTTGTTGATTGGCGAAGTTTGACTATCACAATCGTCCATAGATGAGGAATCATCAGACTATGCTCTTAACTTGCGTTGTTCAAGGCTCTAATGATTGTCTTGCTATCCAGCTTGAAGCTTTATAAAAGGACTAATTGATGATTGAGTTGGGGGAAGTCTTGTTGGCAGTTACTTGATCATTGGATTCCATTTTATAAAAGCGCTCTAGGAGCCACTCTTATCAAAAATGGATCTCTGCTAATTAATTTAGTCGGAATTCATTCAATTTTCTCCTTTCCTTAATATTTATAACTTTAGTTATTAAAAATAATTTAGGAGTCAGATATATTGTCTTGGATATAACTCCTAAATTTATTTAGAATATTATCAATTTCTATATGTTCTAAAACCATCCTTAAAAAATTGAAGATTTATCCTTAGGGGTTTTGGGGTTTTGGGGTTTTGGGG